ATGTATGAATGAAATCAACTGCTCTGAGACACTTTTTTGAAGAAAATCTTTGAAACTATGTTGACTTTCACAAAATCCACTTTTGGCCTCTTCCAAGCCAAAGGAAACATGAAATACATCATGTATGAATGTCGTGCCAAACAATTGAAACAAAGATAACAGAACTTGGCCTAACTAACCTCTGAAATCAAACAAAATGGCTTCTCCAACTTATCTAAATGTGCTTGTCCAAAACCCAAATACAGATGAGGCACCGACCAATAAACCTAGTGTATCTAGACACAGAAAATCCTACGCGTGTGCCAATGTACAGGGTACCCCAGACTCACCTACTGTCCGCAACCTCTCACCACAAATACTTACAGTTTATTTCTCAGAATTGACAGCACCATAGAAGACCAGCCCCCCGCTGAACTCCTGAGTCTCCCCGATTGGCCAGCCAATGAAAAACAAATAGCTCGTGCACCAAACAATATTTATTATGCTCACTTACAGTTAAAGATGAGCGAGTCTCAACACAAGATTGGGAGAGTTTAGTTCTCAGAATTGACAGGACCATAGACCACCGATCCCACAGATTTACACAGTTGGCACAGAAGCCTGTAATTGAGAGGAAAACCAACTTTCTGCTCCATAGAGGTGTATAAGAAAATACGAAAATGATAAATTTTACTTCAAGCTTTTGCAGGAGACGGTGCTATGACTTTTCATATTTCTAATCTTTAAACTTTTTGAATTATTAAGCTTTTTGCAACCTTCATTTTGAATGGGATGTCTATGGAGAATATTTTCAAATCCTCTTAAACTTCTTGAACTTTCAAATCCTTCAACTTCTTCATACTTTCAGCTGACACCATTTCAACTTTCAAATGTTGAGAAAACCCTGAGCTATTGCAAAATGATTCAGCTTTTTGATATCTTTTACACTTTTTGAACTGCAGCAATTTAACTTTTATGATTTTTTCAGTCCTTTTCTGACTTTATAATGGGTGTGTATTGCGCAGCTTAAAGTGCGTGATGAGCTTGAGATTCTTGTGACAAAAACATTTGTCTTTTGCCACTGAGTCCACAATCTTCACTCTTCATGCATCATTTTTGATGGAGAAGTAGCTAATCTTGTCCTTGTCGTAGACAAATGACTGTGGAATCCCTTACACATTTGGCTCAAAGAGCCACAGAGCGACATGAACTCCAACAAACTGCTCCATTAGACTCCATGTTAAATCTGAACACTCATTTCTCAAAGAAAGCAGACGGTACCAGTTTTGTATATTGCTCTGGATTTTTAACACCACAAACATAAAAACCACATTACCGTGTTTGCCAGGGTCTTATCTCTCTCACGGTATCCATATTTTATTGATTAAGCTCATGGTTTTGGTATAAAGGGCATATGTTTGACAGGTAGTTTTGTTGAAAATCACTGTTCACTCTCTCTCTTAATTAGCCTCTATCACACAGGTGCTCCAATCACCAACATGCACCCAAGCACACAGGTGTTTATATGAGCTCATTAGTGATGTTGATAAACACACAGACTCACAGACACACACGCACACACACTCCTCTCCCTCTATCTCTGTCTGTTTGTGTGTCTCTCTCTCTCTCTCTCTCTCTCTCTCTCTCTCTCTCTCTCTCTCTCTCTCTCTCTCTCTCTCTCTCATACAGTCATTCAGGTCTTGGAGACTTTTAGAGGACTCCCCCCCACCCCATTTTAAAATAGAAGCTGCACACATGATTTAGAGATATACGTGATGCAGCTCAGCCAATCAAATATGGGTATTCTGATAAGTTTCCTGATTCGAGTGACATTTACACACATCGCGACACAAGAGGGAGAGACGAGGAAAGACATGGCAGAGCAGGACAATAGTCATGTAAGCTGTAAAAGATAAAACATAGTACAATCTCCAAATGAGAAAGATTGCCAGAGAGCTCTCTCTCTCTCTCTCTCTCTCTCTCTCTCTCTCTCTCTCTCTCTCTCTCT